TCGTAAACCGGTCTGATCAAAAAAATAATATTCTTACGTGAAAGAGCGTTCAATTTTCTATAAGAATACGTCTGCACTTTATTTTCAAAATTGCCTTTCATGCTCACTAACGACAAGCGAAAAGAGCGCTGCGACGAGAAAGCCCAAAAATTGGGTGGCCCACTTGGCATGGAATGCCCCATATATTTCTTCAGTTTTGACATATTAACTAAATAATTTAATAATTCAAGGTTATTTGTAATAAGATTTATTTGTTTCCATCTACCTGAGTACATACAGACATTTGAATTGGCGCCTCAAAAACTTACAGCGTTGTGGTTGGTCAATCAATTTTCCCCCTTCCCCTGCATGCGCCTTACTATACCTTTCTTATTATACCATGGGGTAGAGTAAAGACATAGAGAATGGACTGCGCGATCCCGTATCTATATAGTAGTGTCGACGAAAATGAGAGAGAGGGTCCGTGGAAGACGGCCATCTCTATCTTTTTCCATTCCATGGTGTAATGGAAGAGAGAGTGAGAGGGAGATGGCCGTCTTCCACGGTCCCTCTCTCTCATTTTTGTTGACCATTTTGACGCACGGATAGCGCAGTCCATTCTCTATGTCTTTGGGGTAGAGTACCTATACATGGTGGAAGTATAGAAGGTGAACCATTCCGGTGGATGCGCAGTGGATTGAGAGGAGCGGGGGTATGTCAGCCAATCAGAGTTTAAGCAATTTGTCTGATTCAAAATGGCCAACGGAGCAGTCAGTCCAACGACATATGTCGTTGAGTCAGTCGCATCGTCGCATGACATGAGCATTAATGCACAGTCAAGATATTTTGTGTGTTTATATGACAATTTCGATTGCATTATGCCGACGTGCTGTGTGATCAATTGTAAAAATAAGAGTGGTCGCGGCAAAGAGAAAATAAATATGTTTTCTTTCCCCCAAAAGCCGGAACTGAGGAAGCAGTGGCTAGAAGCCTGTAAACATACTTCAAAACACGTTCGGTATGAATATTATCGACTATAAAAAATATTATATTTCCTAAATTTTTTATTCTAATGAAGATCATTGTATTACATATAAGTTTTTAATATTACATTTACTTGGTATTCATTTTATCTTGGAAAAGATTCTTTAAAATAATTATGAGAAGAAATAGGAAAGGAAAAGACTACGAAAAAGTCAAGGAACTTTTTTACAATCAGGGAATATCAAAGAATTTTCTCTGTCCAAATCCGCAGACACCCTGTTTTTCCTGGAAAATGTACTATTGAATAAAACAAGATCTTTACAAGTTTCCTTATATGTAAACTTTTTTCCTCAAATGCATAAGAAAAGAAAGATAATTCAGGAAATATAATGTTATTTACAGATATATTATTTCTTCATGTTTATTTTACTTTATGAGCTTCGTACTCGCGCCGGACGAATTGCTCGATCTCTGAGGGTGCAGTCCCTTGGAGCGTATCGCGCGTATCGCGGATTAGCGGATCGCCAATCACAGAATCGTTCTGTTAGATCCGTTTACAAATTTTGCAAGCAAATCTAACAGAACGATTCTGTGATTGGCGATTCGCTAATCCGCGATACGCGCAATACGCTCCATGGGACTGCACCCTGAGGGTGCCGTCACATGCGGCGTAACTTGCGTAAGGGTGCAAACCCATGCAGCGGAATAGCGTAACGCGGAACGAGAGTAGAACCAATCACCAAATTCTCTGGAAACACGGAATGCTCGTTATTGGTTCTGCTCTCTTTTCGCGTTCTGCTATTCCGCTGCATGGATTTGCACCCTAAGCGTAACCTGTGTAATCTAATAAATTTTCAGAATACATTTGTTACGTTATGCTATTCTTTGGTCGGGATTCACATAGGACGTATTTTACGGAATTGTAAAATGTGTAACTAATACAACCAATCGCTGATTAGGGTTTCCGTTGTACATTCTAACAGAAATTCTAAACGATCTTATAACTGGTTTTCGTTAGAGTCCTACGCCGGTATTCATAGTTAGTTCTTATATTCAAGACCGTCTTAAGTTCAGTCTTGAAGAGTTACGAACCAATCAGAGGGCCGCTTTAGCATCTTAAGACATTACTTAAGATAGTCTTCAAATAAGAACTGACTATGAATACCGGCCCTAGATATCAGAGAAGCGCAACCGATGTTCTGCGTCCTGATTAGCTGACTGTCAGCCAATCATGACATTCATTCATTGGTATTAAAAATGGCTGACTAATAGACGATTGGTGGATTTCATATTTCGTCTGCAAACGACGCCATTTTTATTACTTTTCTTAGTAATTTTGTGATACTGACTTAAGCCGGTTGCGCTTTTCTGATATCTAGGACTCTAGTTTTCGTAACCTACGCATATCGAAAAATACGCCCTATGTGAATCCCGACCAAAAAATAGCATAACGTAACATGCATATTCTGAAAATTTACTAGATTACACAGGTTACGTTTACGCAAGTTACGCCGCATGTGACGGCATCCTGATTGGTTGAGATCTCAGGTCTCCGCCATTATGCGCAATGGTTCACCTTGTACATTTCCACCATGTACCTATTATTATAGGTACTCTATTGAGTATCGTCATGAGGGGTAACGGCCTCGTGATTGGTCGCCACCATTTCTGGACGCTTTGATGTGTCAGTGAATCTGTGAAGTTGGTGTGAGCTAGAGACCTAGAAAACAGAGATGCGTCATTGAAGAGTATGGCTTGATTGGCTGTCTAGATCACGTGATCAGAGAGCCATTTTAATTCACTATTGCATCTAATAGATATAGTTTTATAACGTATGTACATATATATATATATAGAGAAAAATTTAGACAATACAGTGTCGAAGTGCAATAAAAAACTATTATCATGGTGTAAGTATTCTTATTTGTGTGAATATTTAATATCGGACTTAACCTAACCTAATCTATAATCTTTCTACCTTTTGCATCAACTGTCATCAGCTTATTGGTCAAGAGCACTTATATTGAATTAAAATGGCGGTGGTTACCTAACCCAACCGACGCAATGTCGCATCGCTGTTTTCTACGCCTCTAGTGTGAGCAACTGTTTCATGATCGTAGTACAAAAACAAGCGCGCGCGTTATTGTGTTGTTTCCGGCTGGCGCCCAGCAATGGCATCCTTCCGGTCTTAAAGGCAAAATAATTCATTATATTATATTGATATTCCAAATGTACTGCCAGCGTTGAAAATTTATAATTTACGAAGTAATCTTCTTCAGTCAGGTTAAATACATAGATGTTATCGGTTTCGTGATCTGTAATTTGGTATTGCATCTTGAAAATCTAAATGAAATCGCTGCGAAAATGATATCCCGCCAAATATCTTAGAACGCTCCAGCTAACCTACCTCCCGAGGTGAGGCAGTTGGAGCGAAGCGGGAGCGAAAACGATGACGTATTGATGACGTAATCAGAGTTGCTGGAAGCGTTCCGAAGCGTCAAATGGACCAGCCATGTTAGTGCTACAAATGCTCTGTAGCGTTTGAAGCGCTGAGTGGACCGCAGCCTAAAGGTGCTTTTTCATGCGCAGCACGCTGCAGCAGCAATTCGTTACTATTGGTTAAGGATTTTATGTAAGCTAGATGACGCACTTCCGGCGCAAAATACATTTTGCCGCAGTTCGTTGAAGTTGAACCGAACGAACAGCAAGCAGCAAGCGGCAAAATCGAGAAAGCGTACAATATGTCCGTCGTTTCATTATGAAAATATTATTTATTGCAATAAATATTAGGAAAATAAACGAAAAATGGCTTCGGATAAGGTACGGATACATGTTTGTAAATTAGATCATTTTATACTTTACCACAAATTTGAAAAAGTAAAGTGTAAAGTATAAAATAATCTAATTTACAAACATTCGTACCTTATCCGAAGCCATTCTTCGTTTATTTTCCTAATATTTATTGCAATAAATAATATTGCCTCGATTTTGCCGTTTGCTGCTTGCTGTTCGTTCGGTTCAACTTCAACGAACTGCGGCAAAATGTATTTTGCGCCGGAAGTGCGTCATCTAGCTTACATAAAATTCTTAACCAATAGTAACGAATTGCTGCTGCAGCGTGCTGCGCATGAAAAAGTACCTTAAAGGGTCGACAGGAGTGACCCACTCCACTCCTGTGGATATGAATTCTTTATTCCCAAATTACGGCTAAAATACTGGATGGATCGCGTTTTAATTGTGATATTCGTAATTAGGAAAGGCTCCTGAAGGTTCGTACAGAGCTATTTTTTTGTAAAAAAAAAAAATGGCATAATAAAAATTTGTTCTGTTATCTCACTCGATGTGTACTATGGTGCAATTGAGAGGTGTATACATGATCTTATTTTAATAAAAATTTTCAAGAATCAATTTGCAAATCTGACTCTGTACGAGTCTTCCCAGCAATATAACAATGAAATCCCAACAGGTTTCATAAGGAAATATTGTTTCTTTGAGAAGAAAAATGAGCATAACTGATCCAGATTTGCACTGATTTGCACTCATAAATGTATACCTTTATGCTGAAATTATGGCTAAAATATAACATGAATCGTGTTTTGATTGTGATATTTGTAATCAGAAAAGGCTCCTGAAGGCTCGTACAGAGCTATTTTTTTTGTAAAAAAGACTAACAAAAATATTACGGGAGTGGAGTGAGTCACTCCTGTCGACCCTTAATTAATGGCACCTGCCTCCTTAGAATACACGAGCGGAGGCCAGATCACGTTTCAAATTTGATTTATAAGGTTCAGTCAAAGCCGGCAACGCTTTTTCAAAAAATATAATGCAATCACGGAATCGGCGTTGCTCGAACGAATACCGGGCGCCTGCGTCTACGGTGTCGTCACATCGCAATAACGCGCGTCAGGAGTCCTAGTCGTCAAAACGACGGACAATCGAGACGATCCCCTCCACGATTGGGGATAAATGCACAGTCGAAGTCGGCAACACTTTCAAAAATATGAAATAGAAAGCACCCGCGATATCCGCCGCGGCCGAGTGGTTCTTCGGAACTCCCGAACGATCATCTAATTATCCGCCTCTCACTCTACTAGTCTTTCTATCCCCACTACTATCAACAGTCCATCCTATATGAACATGGCCATACTTCACGAGCCAAACCTGCTCGAATTGTTTCGGAAACAGTCGATAATGACGTATGCTTGGTGACATCCCCACTATTCCGAAATTCTGCGCAGTGGGTTACCACCGGATAAGCATACCTTTGTCTTTATATCATGATTCATTGGAGCTATCAGTTTTTGCTCATTTATTTGGGCTCGTCATCTAAATCATCAGAATCTAGACTGCTGCTGCTACTACTGCTGCTTGATGTATTGCTATCAGAGTCTGTATCGCTGCTATCCGTTGAACTTGAACTGCTCGATAATCTGCGTTTGTATATAATAATTAAGAAAAAGTAACAAATGTATATTAAAATAATCAGTATTATAAAATTCTTCAATCATGCACATTATTAGATTATTAAAACTATCATTCCTAAGATTCTTATTATTTGGATATCTGAGAACTCGAGTACTCAGGGTCAAATACTACTTGGATCTAAAAATTCTTGGCCAATTACTCAATACGAGAACTTTCGCTAAAAATAAATTTTTAGTTTTAAGTAACATTTTAAGTTTGAATTGTTAGATCTGTACAGTAATGAGAGAAAATTTGTTTTCAAAAATCCAAATAGTAGTTATATAAAGTATTATATGTATACAAAGTAGTTATTTTATACAATATGTGGTAAAATAAGTTAGGCATTATATTGTTACATTAAACCAAATAAGTTAAAATATATAGAAACAATAATATAAATGCCTATTAAATATAAGTGTGTTAAACAACAACTGTTAACAATCAAGCTAAAATGTGAAAATACTTACAAACACTTAAAAATTTTTTGATTAACATGGTATACATTCTTTGGCCTTCAAAACAAAATTATACAAAATATGTAGAATATTACTATACACGAAAGTAACAAAACAGTAATTTTCTACTCACGTTTCCTGTTTGTCAATATTCATAGATAGTGTTTCAATATTATTGGTCATTTGGTGAATAGTATTTTCTATAACAAAATCTTCTTGGACAGAACAAGCTGCCATTTCCAGTTCTACTAATTCTAATCCTATATTTTCTTTGTTTGGATGAATCTGTATAAAATAACAAGAATTTTGATAGGTAAGCAACTGTGGCTGAATAAGACTGATCAATATACATATAATCGATGAATCTCAAATTTAATTCCAATATTCATCTCATATACACGCATCATATTCATAAAGAATTAATTTGAAAAGTTGAAGGTTGTAAATGGAGTACTTAAGTAAAATAAGGTAACTCATTTTGGAAACCTAGATTTAGATAGATGATAAGAGAGGTGTTAAATATGTGAATATTTAAAGAATTTTAAAGAGTACTTACATTATTTAGTGAAGAATGAAGAGATTCTATTAAGGAATCAGATAACGTTTGCAACCAAATTAGAAAATCCTTTATATACAATTGGTTCAGTATGTATCTTGGTTCAAATGAATTATTGAAGAGACTGTGTATTTCACAGAAGCGTTTAACGATATATTTCTTTCCTACGCATGAAAACATTTGAAGTAATATAAAAATAGTATAAATATATGTATATATAGATATTTTGACATTCCAATTTATTTCTGACCTAATGACAGAACTTTTTTAACGTCTTCTAATAATTTAATAGAAAGTTCCCAATTTCTGTAAAGTGGATAACAAAGCGCCCTTCGAATACATGCTGTTACAACCTCATCTAGAGAAGTAAAGTTCTGAAAATATTTGATATAAATTAATTTGTTTGCACTCTCCTAGTAAAAAAACGTTTTGTTAATTGATAAACATACTTGAAACCAACATAACGTAGAACTTAGTTTATTAATAGTCCAGCTACTTTCTGAATTATTTTCTCCTAATGTTGTTCGATGATTATAACAATTGGCATATAAGATGTCGACTAGATTGAAACATAATTTTTCTATATCTTCAGCATTTAATAAATATTCTTTATTTGGAAGTTCCTTTAACAGATCGATTTCTGCTTCATTAAATGCTATTTGATCTTTTTGTAATATATCCCATTCTGCTTGATATATTAAGCATGGCTTAGTGACTTCCGATTCCATCAGATCTGCCATATAATGTTCCTCGGAGAAATCACTTAATTCACGCTGTTCTCGCAAACTTTTTCTTTCTACATCAGAAGTTACATCAGGAGTAGGAAGATCTATTATTTCTTTAATCCATATATTCTAGGAAGAACAGACACATAACATTACTGAATTAATTTGACTGTGTCAAAAAACAAAATATGGACTTATTGTAAAATTAATTGTAATGTACTTACAGTAAAATTTAATGATGTTATAATAGATTATAAAGACATACCTCAAAAGCGATTAAAGCTCCTGATATTTTATTAGCAAAACCATACTTTGGAGAGTTTATAAGACTCATTGCATTTCCTACAAAATTATCATGAGGTGGAGAACAATTATTTCCAGAATTATCTACATTGTTTTCACTCATATCTGTTGAAGCCACAAATGGATTACCTAAAATTGAGAAGAGGCATTGTATGTCTATGCAATACGTATATACAGGGTGTCTCACAACTACCGCATTTTTTTAAATAACATATTTTTAAGATAATTTTATGATGAGAACTTTAATATAATGTTTACCATATGAAACAAATGAACATATAGTTATGAATTTATTTTAGCAGCTGTCACATATTGTAATATCTTGCTGTTGAAGTGATATTTTATGAAGTGATACTATTCCAATATTAATTATGCATAGTAATTATACACACGTGTGTATAATTAAAAATTAAAATATACAAATATTTATCAAACAACTTTCTGAAAAATATTACATATTAAAAGGGCCATCATGGTATATTTACTACTTGTCATCGTCATGCCTAAGCGCGCAAAATGTCAGCTCTAGGATTAGCGAAATTTAATTACGATTAATTTAAAAACTATTATAGCCTCGACATTTTTATATTAAAATTCTCATCATAAAACTATCTCATAAATATGTCTTTAAAAAAATGTGGAGGTGTGAGACACCCTGTGTGTGTATATAATATAATTATATATAATATTATATATATATATATAATAGTAATGCTATACAGTGTATATGTACATAACACTTTTATATTATGTCTTTATAATTACCGATTACTTCAATGTTAGGTATAACAGTGCTTTTCTTTTTTGGTGCCAGAAGACTTGTTATCATTTCCAAGTTTTCAAAATGCTCCTCCTTGTTTACTTTGGAGAAATGTAAGGTAAAGTCACCTTTCTCGCAGTCATAAGCACCAGAGGATGAATCGTTTTCTTCTATCTTACCTGGAAGCTGCAGTCTGCAAGAATCGTTTAATTAACTCTTACAATTAGTATATACACCATTGGATCATTTGTGTCCTGTACATTCTTTTTTCTTTGAAAGATTAGAAGTATCAAATAATCAATTTATACACAAATACTATACACAATTGTACACAATTGTGTTATATAAAATTTTAATAATAAAAATAAAAATTTTTAAGTATATGCAAGAATTGCTTGACAATTTTTATATATTTGTTAAATAATGTAAATTAACTCCGAACACGAATGACCCATCGTGTACAACTGTACAGTAAAGGATTGAAAAATTATCGTGTACCAATGGTTAAGTATATTCATATATTCGTCGAGAAGTCACCTGACTGAAATTCGGAAATACTTGCTTGAGAAAATACGGAGTGGAGAAAAATAGGAAATCGGTTCCGTCGACGTACACCTCCGTGTCTTTTATATTCGCGTATGGAGCATGGATAATTATCGTCACCTCCTCGTCGGTCTGCGTGATCTCGAAGCGCGGAGTCAACATCTCGCTGTTTGTTCTCCCGGAATGTTGGGAAATCACTTATATTTGGATATACCCGTCTTGCACAACGTGCGAGCAAATATAGCTGAACAAGCGGCGATAAAGCTTGCAAATCGATGTGCAAAAGGAAGAACGAAAAGCTTTATCGAAGAATTAATTCTGTAACACGATTCATCCGGTGAGGTTTCTACTTGCTCAATTTCGATCCTTTCGAACACGCATCCCTGGAGTACTTAGCCTAAAGTCAATCCTAGCAACGCGACGAACGCGGAACTAATCGAATCGACTCAATAGATCAAATGGAGAGCAATCAGCTTCTTCTTCTTCTCTTCTTAATTTAATAGCACCCGCCGGTAAACGCCAACGATATATGGCCAGTATCCAATGTTGTAAACAAAGAGGATTATGAGATGCACGCAAAAATGGCGTAGCAACAGGAAGCAATGGATACAAGGCGCCGCATCCTGCGCCCCGGAAGTGGCGAACTGGTTGCGGTGGAAAGGTCGGGTTAGGTTAAGTCGCCGCTTAAGCGAGAGTCGGAGCAAGTTGGAAGAGAGCGACGTTCTTTCTCCGGTTCGGTGTTTTTCCCGGAGAGTTCTCGGTTCACTTCTTCGTGAGCACGCGAAATGCCGACCGTCTCGCGGTTGTACAAATGGGCTCTCGGACTCGGCGCGGTGAGCGGTGCGATACTCTATTATTACAATGCGCACGGCAAAACGGAACCGTTGCGCGTTCACAACTCGTGGACGACGAATTACACGCCTTCGGTCAAGTGGGATCATAACTGGGACAGGTGATTATACCCCCGTTATCCGTTTGATCTTCTCTGTCTCATATGAGACTTTAGGAAAAATAAAAAATTGTTAGAAAACTTTTTGTACAAATTGAAACTCCACAGATTTTTCTCAGAATAAAAATATAAATACTAAAATAACGCTTGTTATATTTTAAAAACAAAAATATGATGTTGCAATGTCGGTATTATAAACAAGCACGAAAATACAAGATGAACAATCTTTATTAAATAATATCATTAATCAATTACGAAACGTTTCGACTCATACAGAAGTCCTCTTCGCAGTCATATAATAAATATTAGAAATAACATTAAAAAATAAAATATATGGAAATCCGTCTAATAGTCATCTTTTTAGTCAAGTCGTTAGTGAAAGAAAATCATCACATAAAGTAATATCCGCATCATGATTCTACGGTAACATTATAAATTTTAAATTGATAAAATAGTAAAAAAGGAATAAAATAACTTAGATAGTAGATAGAAATAGACTTATAGAAATTTCAGATGCTCTATGTACAATTTTCCTTCTTCCAATTAAAATGATATAGTCAATTACAGATGTTCTATGTAAAACAGTTGTCACAAGAATAAAGGAAAATATGTTTGGTTGTCGAAATATCAAAACTTGTTTGTTATTAAGATGGTAAAAATCAAAACAAACAATCATATATTTTGTCTAATTTTTCAGTGTCTTTTTGTGCATTGATACCATTCTCCTGTTTTTTAATAGAAAGCATTTCTGAAATTAGTCTTTTATTGTAATGAGATTCAACATCCATTATCTGAACATTGTCCTAGTCGAAAGTATGATCATATTGAATGCAATGTTCCGACAAAACAGAAAATTTTAAAGGATCGCCTCTTAAGTTATATTTATGTCCCTTTATTCTTGTAATCAATTTTCTCTTTGTTTGACCAACATATGAAGAATTACAATCATTACAATTAATTTTATAAATGACATTGTTCTTTTATAAAGTATCTGTATTGTCTTTATGAGCTTTAATAATTCTGTTTAATTTATTAATATTCTTAATTTCTATAGTAAATACTTCTTTGTTTAAATTTGATGTAATACTATTTGTGATTTTTGGGATGTATGGTAATACAAAAAGTTTTTTGTTAAGAATATCAATACAGGTACTTTGATTCTCTAATTGTGTTGTATGTAATTTGACATTTAATATAAAATCAATTTTTTTTGTATTTTTTTTATTAAAAATCAACTGCAAGGGAAAATTGTTATATTCAATAAAGTTGTAATGAAAAACTCAATATTTTTAATGTGAAATTCAGAATTAGAAATTTAAATAATTAATATAAAAACTAGTTATAGACTCTTTTTGTTAAAAACAAATAAACAATCGTGAATTATAAGGCTATAAAGAGTCAAACGCAGTTGATCATGCGAAAAATTAATTTAATCTTACAATTAAAAATACAGTCGGACATTTCGGTCTGTGATTTAGACCATCTTCAGCGACCAATTGATAATAAATACAAAGCTCCATATACTCCAAGTTATAATGCCAATTGAAAAACAATTATTGTTAATTAACAAAATGTTTCCGTGCACCAACCAGAGGTAAAAGCATCAAGTGAAGATGTGTAGCAAAATTTTTTAAAAAGCAGTAATATGTCTGTGAAAAGACAGTTAATAACATATATTATTTTATTAAAAATTATCCAGAGAAAATTAAAACAAAAAAATTTTTTTTTTTATATTTAAACACTCACCCCTGTTGGTAGACAAAAACATAATTACACAATTTAAATTCATAATTCCATAAATTTAGACTGACTAAACATATATGTGACCGTATTCATCAGAAGGAAACGATACAATGAGGAACGTTAAATTACTGACAACAAAATAAATTAAAAATAAATGATTAGGTCAAATCATACTGTTGTCAATTTTTCTAAAATATCTATGTACGACCGATCAAGACCTTCTGTGTCAGTTTTTAAATTTAAACCATTGTTTTGAGATTTTATATGTCAGAATTAGAAAGTCCATATATTTTATTTTTTAATGTTATTTCTAATATTTATTATATGACTGAAGAGGACTTCTGTATGAGTCGAAACGTTTCGTAATTGATTAATGATATTATTTAATAAAGATTGTTCGTCTTATATTTTCGTGCTTGTTTATAATACTGACATTACAATATCACATTTTTGTTTTCTCAGAATGTTTGTATAATTTTTCAGAATTTCTATATAAAAATGTTGTAACTTAAAAAAAAATTTCTTAGATTTTTTCGTATGAATTGGAACACTTTTCGGAAATATTGAGAAAATAATTTTAAAAAATTCTACATGTTTTATAGAGATTTTTTTAAATAGAATCAATCTAAAAAAAAGTATCATGCTTTCATTTTGGAGCCATTAGAACTCATTAAAAAAAATATGTCATTGAAACACAATTGGAGAATCTTTTAAGGCAATTTAAGGAACTTGGTTTAGGACGCTGAAAAGAAGTTGTTTTTTTTGCGAATTTTTTATGAACAATCCATGAAGCCAATCTTTCCAAAATTTTAGGAGTAATAGGTAGTATGTTTGAAGAATATAAAATAATTTTTTAATAATGATAAATAATGAGTGTAACAAAAATTATTTATTAATCAATATCGTGTTTCGCCACCGGAATTGTAAATTGGTGTGCAATTTAGCCTTATTAGTAATTCTTGCCTAACAAAAAATCAAATTTTTTAAAAAATAATATAAAAATAATAAATAATATTTTATCCTCGATAAACTCAAAAAATAAAGGAAAAAAGTATCAAATTGTAAGAATTGAAAAAAGACTTCGAAAAAAGTAACAACTTAATTAGTAAAAAATTTTCTACTAAGATGAGCGAAAGCTAGCACCTCTGATTCAAATTGTAGACTAGATGGAAAACTACGTATATGTTACACAGATGTAAGAAGAGTATTGTGTAGTGTTCCGATCAAAATATAAACGGTAGAAGGAACTAAACAATCAAATATTGTGATATAATACATGTTTTACAACAAAGCTTACATAAATGCTTCTCAAAATATTATACAGAAGAGAATTTTCAAGGATAAGAATAACTTTTTGTATTTGTTAAAATACGAGATATGTTATAATGGAAATTTTAATAAAATTTATATTACAAAAAATGAGAAATGTTACTTTTTTTTTACATATCTTTTATTTTGTAAAGAGAGTAACATTTTTCTCATTTTTTTCCACAAAAGGCCTGAAGTTGCTGGGCGATTATTTAAAAAACAAAACTGAAGTGTAAAGGATTAATTATTAATTATTCAAAATTTAGACAAAACCATTTCGTCTCAAGAGTAATAAAAAAATTAATATTCATAAAAAGAGCTAAAGCCATACGCTAGATTTGTGTTATCGCTAACCAAATCTAGCGTATGGCTTTAGCTCTTTTTATGAATATTAATTTTTATATCTAAGCCACTTATAATATCTATACATATATTTAAAAAAGTAATAAAAAAGAAAGTTAACTATGTTGTGACATTTATAGACGAGATCCACACAGTTTGGTGAAGCCAATGAAAGTAAATGATGAGAACGATGAGAACAAGTACAACGAAAAGTTCGAAGCAAAGAGAGCAAGGGCTGTGCGGCACATACTCTTGATTCGTCACGGACAATATCACACGAATGGAAAGACGGACATTGAGAGAGTGCTGACTGAACTTGGTAGAGTGACTTGTGTACTTTCTGTATATCTAGCATAAGTATAAGTATATGCGGTTGTTCCATTCATTGTTTTTATTGTTGATTTCTTTTCAATGTATCACATCCTGAGCTCTTTCTCTTTACATAATCCGAAGCATGTCGTTTCTTTCTTAATATTTAGTGCTGCTTACCTAACGGATCGCATTTATTTCATACTGATGGAATTTTGTATTTGCATATAGGTCTCGGGTTAAAGTATCTGGAAGTTCACAATAATTTGTCACCATAACCAGCAAACCACACACAATTTCCGAAGAGAATGTTATACGAATTCTTCTGCTATAGCATTCCGTAGGGGTGTTGCTACTAGGATAATACGCTTTCTTTCTACTTACATCTTTCATGACGTCGCATTGGAAGATGGCTAATAAGTTCTTTTGCAAAAAGTATGTAATAATTCGTGATACAGCATGTTCTCTCATCGCATATGTATGTACATCGATAATTAACATGTTATATTCTACTAAAACTAATGATATTTTTGAAAGTGTGACATTGATATTCTTTTAATGCTTGCTATTATTTTTCTGAACGAGCTTACAATTTATGACGCAAATTATTGTGGGCAACTGGGTTTTTTTGTTTAATTTCTTTTTTTTCTTCACGTTTCCGTAATTTCATACTTATTTCATGTAAATATTTACTTCGTATATATATTTATTTCATATAAGTATATGTATACTATATGTTATTATATACAATATATTATATATATATTACTTATATGTTATTTATAATATTTTATAAAATATAGAAATATTACATTTTTGTAAAACTATTTACTTTGTTGCTATAAAGGTAGAAAGCAGGCTGAAGCAACAGGAAAGAGACTAGCGGAATTAAATTTACCTTACTCACTGATAGTGAGGTCTACAATGACACGTGCTCTGGAAACTTCTCAAATTATAGAAAAGAATCTTATAAATGTGCCAGTTGAAAATGATAGCTTATTAGTCGAAGGTGCACCTATACCTCCGGAGCCGCCTATTGGTCAGTGGAAATCTGAGAGACATGTGAGCGAAATATAATTAATTTAAACTCGAAAAAATTTTTTAAATTTTCGCAATGCATAATAATTCCGTATCTCTATTTCAATCTATATTCCAGTTTTTCCAAGATGGGCCCAGAATAGAGGCAGCATTTAGAAAATATTTTCATCGTGCGGAATCTAGTCAAGATCGTGATTCTTACACCATCCTTGTATGCCACGCAAACGTAATCAGATATTTTGTTTGTCGGTAAGATTTTCTTTTTTATAGAGTATAAACATAATAATATATTATTTATATATAATATATATATATATATATATATATATATATATTGTATCATCTTTCTTTTAAGGGCATTGCAGTTTCCACCAGAAGCATGGTTACGGATATGCTTGAAACATGGAAGTATCACTTGGCTCTGTATTCTTCCCAGTGGTAGAGTTACTCTCTACTGTTTAGGAGATACAGGACATATGTTACCACAAAATGTAACATCTAGTTAAAAATGTACGGCTTTTTATATAACATGACATATTTATAAACAATATATCATTGATAAGCTTGCGTATATCGATATGTGCACATCGAGACTGCATTCCACAAGTTGTACAAGTCGATCTCATATCATCTTTTTATTATAGAGATAATTTTTACGTAATTTTCACATTAGATAGAAGTATACAGTTGTATAAATGTGTGAAAAAGAAACTGAATTCCTAAAGAAATATTTTCAAATAATAAGTATACGAAAAGAAATGGATATACAACGACTAAATAGCATTTAAGAAAGTATTATCTCGTGCACCTGTGTGAGTGTATATATTTTCCTTTCAAAGCTCAGTTGGAGTATCTATTTAAATTATAAAACAAATCAAATAAAAAAAGGTAAAGAGCCGATAATATAAACCTTTAATTCAAATAATAATATAATATATAGCTACAATTCAACAGACGTTTCGACTCCGATCGGATCATTTTTAATGTTACAATTATTTAATACAGATATGTTCGTTATACAAAATTCGTTATCCTACAAAAATTAACAGTGTATCCGTTCGTATTCTTCATGCTTTGAGTCAATAAGATAAAAATTCGAAAGTCAGATTGTATAAAATGTTGGTATTCTTGTCAATTATATTAGTAGAAAGTCCATAAATAAAAAGTACAAGTGTGATATTAAAATTAGGTACACTAAATACATTATAACAGAAGCAAATTTGCAGATCTGTCATCTTATTGACTCAAAGCATGAAGAATACGAACGGATACACTGTTAATTTTGGTAGGATAACAAATTTTGTATAACGAACATATCTGTATTAAATAATCGTAACATTTTGAAAATGACCCGATCGGAGTTGAAACGTCTGTTGAATTGTAGCTACATATTATATTATTATTTGAATTAAAAGTTTATATTATCGGCTCTGTGCCCTTTTTTATTTGATTTGTCTTATACTTATAGAGCCTTCTATCAACTATTATATTATAAAAATCATTAAATATTTGGATTGTGGTGTATACATATGTGTATTTTAAAATATACTTGTAGTTTTCTAATGTCATAAAATAAGTTTTATCTTTAATTTTGTACACATTTTTACAATCGGAGATCACACCTTTTTTTGTACAATTTATTATTAGGTGTACAAATTAGTTCGGTCCGTTTTTTGTATTCAAAAATGCATTTATTTCAAAACAAAATGAATAAACACATTAATTAAAGTATTGTCCATCGCGCTGGCTACTACTTTTTCCCATCTCTCAGGCAATTCCATCTCGAAAAAATGACTCGTCTTTGGAGGCGATCATCTTTTGGAAAACAGACTGAACTAATTTGTACTCCCAATAGAATAAGGTAAATATTTACGTAATACATAATACAAAAGTGAAACGGATGTTATATAAAAAATTAACTTGAAATAATTATAATTACGTTTAATTTGCTTCGGTCAGTCTCTTTGCTTTTCTCACATAATATTTTTGTAATGCTGCTTCGAATACTGGACCTACTGTTCTCTTTTCCCAGATGGAAGATCTATCTTTCTTTTCAATAGGCTTTTCTTTATCCTCAATTTTCTCGCTTTCTGGAATAACATTGTCATTTTGAGGTATTTTGATATCTTTTACCTGTTCATCTTTATTTTTGGTGTTTGTAACATTTTCAGACGTGTTCATATCATTTTTATCGAATTTTTGTTTCTTTTCTTCTGGTTCTTGCAACTCTACTCTATCGATTTCTTTGTCCACTGGTGAAACGACAATATCATCTTTCCTCAACTCTTTTTTACTCATCTCTGTTTCAGAATCAGATTCATACATTTCTATGACTCTCTGTCGATATTGCCTCGATTTTTTAGTTTTTGTAACTGCTTTTTGTTTTTCCTCTGTTTTGTTCGCTCTCTTGTTCGTTGTTGCACTTTCTCCATTTGTGCTGCTTGTTGACGTTTCCCTCTGCTCATAACTTTTTGTTGCTTCACCGCTCTCATCTTCATTAACTTCACCCTTGTAATCAACAGTCTGTTTGTACAGATGATGGTAAAATCCTGACATGTCTTGCTGCTTTGTCACATCACCAATAGCTTCCAATCTATTCATTTTAGCTTCTTCTTCCTCCATCTTCTTAAACTCCTCCAACTTTGTTCTGTACGCAGACGTGACGAAACTCTCTTTGTCCGCGTACATCTCACCCTCAGCTTCGCGTTCCTTCTGCACCATTCTCTCTATTCTATACTCGTGTTCCTTTTTCCTTCGCTCAGCTGTTTTCAGGAGCTTCTGTATGTACTTGGACTTTTTCTCCTTCTGCTTGCTCGTGCCGTCTACCTGGCCCTTGCCGCGCTCCAGATCATCGTATACCTCGTCATACTGATAGATCGTCGGATCTTCATTCAGAGCCTTCTGGATGTTGAGCTTTGTTTGTCTTTTCATCCGGTTCTTCTCGCCTTCCGCCTTGAGAGCCTTTCTGACCCAGTCGGTGCTATCGTCCTCGTCGGAGGCATTGTCGTCCCCGAAAACATTGCCGAGTCTCGGCGCTGTGCTTTGTTGTTGCTTCTTCGGTAAGATCAGGCCGTACCTTCAACATTGAAAAAATATCAGTTGAAAGTAGTCGATGGCATAAAAATTTCGATGCGATATCCCAGTATCTGAGAATGGATTGAAATGGATTAAAATGGATTAAAATTTTCAGAAATACGGATTCATGAATGTTAAAATAAATCCTTTTCAATCCGAATACGTTTTTATTCTTTTATAGGAATTGCATGGAGCATATCTGTATACTTTTCAATCATAAAATAATATTAGCTTTTTCAGTGCGTTTGTGACCATAGTGAATACTGTACAATTCATAATTTTGAATAGGAAACGCAGTTTTTCAATCCAGTTGCATCCAATTGAATCTAATTGAATCCAAAAAAAAAGTTTTCGCTGTTTAAAATACGAATTCGAATAGACAAAATCCAATTCATTTTAATCCATTCTCGGATAAGAAACGCCTTCGTTACTCACTGTTTATTAGCCATTGCCAATTATCGTTCTTCGAATCACAATGAAATCTAACCTAATTTCGTGCAAGCTCGTACGAGTCACGTCACACGGTCGCGATGTTTTCGTGAGTACCACGAATTCATAACGTGCTCCGGAATATGGTAGAGGCTGTATACTTTTAATCTCAGTCGAGATAAGCCGAGAGGTAACTTCGCAAATGCGATATTGCAGTATATTGCCATTTATCCATTTATCGCGCATGAACCAACGAGCACCAACGAGGTAACGAGAAGTAAAGAGAGAAGGACGCTCGTTTGGGGAATGGTGACGTTGCTCTCTCTCTCTCCCCCCCCTCCCCTCGTCCCCCGTCAAGGCTTCGCCCACTCATCTGACGTGCGGACGTCAGCACTGTGTATAAATGCGGAAGGATAAGGGAACATATCCGTGATATGAACCTTTGACAGTCTTCCTCGAGGTAGTTACAGCCAGGTGTGCGCAAGGTACACTGAACCAAAAATGTACGTAAATACAACAAAATATTCTTTTAATTAATGAAAATTGGTCCAATGAACTCTTAGGTTATAAAACTATTACTAGAATTTATTGCAAGAATGAATATATAATTATGTAAATGAATTCAGTTATTGTATCAATGAATAAATATGGACATTGATTAATGTAAATAACATTAATAAGTCGAATATTGATTGATTATTTATTGGACCAAAATTTTTTTCAATGTAGTGACGACAATTCATCCGAAAGCGCACACCCAAGAGAAAAATAAAACGGTCCCGCAAATGGACAGCCTACGTCGCGGCGTTGTCATCCTCGCGCTTGTCTGCGCCGCGATCGCTACTCTAGCGAACGGCTATGCGTTGAACGTCGCCGAGCAACCGCGGGACGGCGACTATGTCACCACGTCTTATATACATTATGAGGATTTACGGCGACTGTTTGATTCCCTGGCGAACCGATATCCGAATCTGGCACGGGTGCTGTCCATCGGGAAGTCAGTGGAGGGCCGTGAACTCCTTGTCCTGGAAATCTCGGAGAATGTCGGGAAGCGTAGCCCTGGCGAACCCATGGTCAAATACGTCGCCAACATGCACGGTGACGAGGTCGTGGGTAGACAGTTGCTCATCATTCTCGGCCAGTATCTCCTAGACAGCTATGGCAAAAACGATCGTATCACCTGGCTAGTAAACCAGACGGATATCTACTTAATGCCCTCCATGAATCCAGACGGTTTTGAAAAATCAGTGGTAAGATTTTCAGTCGTGCTGCAGAATTATTCCAAGATCACACACAAATTTCAAACATTCTTGCATTTCAGGAAGGTAAATGTGATTCCAATGATGACTTCTCTGGCAGAGAGAACGCCAATCACGTTGACTTAAATCGGGACTTCCCCGATCAATTTGACAGAAAATTCAACCATCGCAGTAAGGATAGTTCTATTCTCAATGGTCGCCAGAGTGAAACTGTGGCTATGATGACTTGGATCTCCAACGAGCCTTTTGTCCTCTCTGGAAATCTTCATGGTGGTGCTGTAGTTGCTAGCTATCCATATGATTCTGGGTTATTATACAATTGTCATCGCGATAACTGTGTTATATGTTGTTAAGTTGCTTCTTACATCATTCTGTTTACAAAGTTCTGTTTGTTATCTGACAAGATGTGTTCTTTCAGTATCTCAAGATCGTGCTGCATAGAAAGTAAAAGCCCAGACGATAATTTATTCAAGTATCTCGCTCACGTTTATGCGGATAATCATCCATTAATGCGTAGAGGTAATGCTTGTCCACCAGAAATATTCCGAGGTGGTGTTACAAATGGAGCATACTGGTAACAATGAACATATTACTGTGTTTAGAATAACATTTGAATTGAATGATTGTAAATATTAATCAGAGATAAAAAACTGATTTTTAATATAATTTTTCGAAACTCTTAGTTTTGTATTGACAGAAACTTCAAAATGTATTGAATTTGTCGATAGGTACGAAGTAATTGGTGGAATGCAGGATTACAATTATGCCCGCTCCAACGCATTTGACATAACGTTTGAATTGAGTTGCTGTAAATATCCACCAGGTTCAACCATACCGGAACAGTGGTTACTAAATAAAGAATCTCTGATTAAATATTTGGAACAAGTTCATATTGGAGTAAAGGGTGACATTCATATATTAATATCATAGTCGTTTTTATCGTAAGATTTCAGGAAGAGATTTTACAGTGTATTTAATTTTCCACACACACACACATTTGCAGGTTTTGTATTCAGTAAAGATGGTAGACCAATTGAAAAAGCAAACATTGTTGTAGAAGGAATAAATCATAATGTAACAACAACGGTCAACGGCGAGTATTGGCGTTTACTGCTTCCAGGAACTTATTCAATTTATTGTGTCGCATGGGGGTATGTAATCACATGATTCTTAAACTTAATATTCAATATGTCATGTCGGCTAAAGACTATTTTTAGCATATCGGTTTCTATTGTATTTTGTTTTCTATTCAGATATGAACCCAGTGAACCAGTAAATGTAAATGTATTAGAAAGCTCACCGACGATTGTTAATTTTACATTAAGCGATAAAGAAGTATATGAACAAGGTAAAAATGACATAAATTATCCACAAATAATACCAGCTTTTAATAATAGATTATCTGAGTTCTATAAGCTGATATTAGACGATTACAATGACCAGGACTACTAATTTACACCTGAATAACATTTAAATTACTCAACAATACTATCACGGCTATATTAATTATCTAATATCTATGTTTTTGTCTATAATGGCTTAAACTATTACTAACCACATAATTCATTAATTTATGTTTTAACTTATACATTTTTTTATATTGTGACATTACGATTTCTTTATTAGCAAATTATTTTATAAGTATTTTTTATTAAAAAAACATTTATTATTTATTTTTTAAAATAATATTAGAGTTTTTATTATTTGATTTGTTTTAGTAAGATTTTTGTTTTGTTTTAGCGAATTAATATTACAAAATTCGGATATACCCATCTTTAATAATTTATGACTGCAGAATCTCTTATTTGTTTGCTGACATATTTTGACATCGTGTATATTTTTAATTATTTTATTAGATTTAAGTAATAGGAAATAGATAATACAGAGATGGAGAGGAAATAGATAATACATATATAGACACAAGGTATGGAGAAATGAATATAGCAGAGGAAGGGAATAAGGATTTTGAATATATTTTTGTTATAGTTTATATCTGAATAAATAAGGAAAATATTTTAACTATATTCCAGTTTGTGACATAAGGCATGTATTTATTCTACCATATACGTTTTATCTTGATATATTGTTTTATTCAAATTTATTTCATTATGACATATGTTATATGTAAACATTCCGTGATCACAGTTAAGATTAATTAAACAATATGACATTATGTCTAACAAAGATAAATATAATGCCCTGTTTGCAAATTGGAAAGTAGTATATTACAATATCATTACATAAACGGACAAATTAACTGATTGAACATATCGTACAACTGTGCAGAGATTATGACTTATAACGATATAAACTTTATATTTCTTTTTTATAAATATGTACTTATGAGTACAAGAACTGTTGTATATTTTTCTTCAATAAACAGAAAAAACATTAAACAATTATTAGTAGGCAACTATTTTTTGCTAAACAAATTACTAAACAAATATATAAAAAAATGTGTTGCCACACACACACACTCACGCGCGCGCGCATATATATATATATATATATATATATATATATATACATACATCATACATATATCAATATATATTGATATGTACAAATCTAAATGAAGGTTTTTTTTAAAGATTTTAATTTTTCCTGACAATATCTAATTATTTAACTTTTTGTTTTTGACAAGATTAGCTGAAAACATAGATTTTGGCTGACATTCTGTAAATGATGTTTGGAGGTAAATATACGTGACAACACGATGTTTTGTCTATTTTCTTTCGTACAAAGTAAATATACAAAATGTGAAGGAAAAAAGAAACAGATGTACTGTGTTTTACCATGTGAGATACATAGTACTGCCAATACCCATTCTATTGTATTAGAAACTATACTAATATAAATGTAAATCTCGGTGTGAGTACATGTCAGTGACCGATATATCATATAATTTGTATAACAATGTATGTTCTAATATTTTCCTTACAAGTATGTATTAATTAAAACCAGAAATAAAAACATTGTTTTTCGTCTTGAACAATGAGTATCTTACTCAATATTTATCCTTTTCCTATTATGTGTTGACAGACTATGTATATTATTTTTATACACATCTTATTATTTATCTCATCCTTTTCATTTTCTCTATACCTTGTGTTTTATAACATACCCATCTCTTGTTTTGCATTATTTGTAGTATTAAATCTGTGTGCGATTATACACGAACATATTTTATCATGAATAATGATTATTTCATTGAAAACTCTACGTTTGATTTTGACAGCAATAATGATTGAATTGTATATTCGTACGATGCAGGAGAAAATACAGTCGACGAAACAGTAAGATCCATCGACGAGTATGGCTTTTATTATACCGTGGAGTTCAAGCATCACAACTACATCGCAATGGAGAAGTATCTAAAGGATTTGAGCGCGAATTATCCCAATATTACGAGGCTGTACAGCATAGGGTCTTCCGTGCAGGGTCGTGAGCTGTACGTTATGGAGATCACAAAGGATCCCGGTGTTCACAATCCCGACAAACCGGAGGTAAAGTACGTCGGGAATATGCACGGGAACGAGGTAATCGGCAGGGAAATGCTATTGCTACTGCTGAGATATCTCTGCGAAAACTACGGCACTGACATAAGAATCACAAGGATAGTGGAGACCATTAGGCTCCACGTGCTACCGAGTATGAATCCTGACGGATATGAGATCTCCAAAGAAGGCGATGTTTACGGGATAAGAGGCAGAGCGAATGCGATGGATGTAGATCTTAATAGAAACTTTCCCGATTATTACGTAACCAATGATGTACGTTATTTCGATTTTAGAACCATATTTTTTACATTTATATTTATTACATTTATCAATTTATTTATTATCTCGTTATTTCTATATATTAGTCATTTCATTTTGAACGACACTTGAAAAATTAGACAAAGCATCGTATAATACAACTCTTATTTAATCTTTTATATAAGGCTTTGACTAAAGAGATGAATATAAATATTTTGATTGTTACTTCAAAATGTCTTTTGGAGTAAAATAATAGAATAAGTTGTTTAAGCCTTATATTTATCGAATTATTAAAAAAATAAAATATATGCTCGCGTTTTTCACTATAAAGTACGCGTTGCGATAATTTATATAACATTTTCTTTTTATTTAGTTTCTAGATTTATTTTAACTATTAAATATATAAGTACGAATCAATCTGCATTTAACGATTTGTACAATTAAAACACATCGCGCTAACTTGGCTACATTTTACAGCTCAATCAGTATCAGCAACCTGAGACTAAAGCAGTGATGGATTGGATAGCGAAAATTCCATTCGTACTCTCTGCTAATCTTCACGGGGGAGCGTTAGTCGCGAATTATCCTTATGACGACGGACCGGAGGACTTGGGGTCCAACGTCGCGAATTTAAGTCCAGATAATGATGTCTTTCGGATGCTGGCATTGATATATTCCAATGCCCATCCCCGCATGCATCTCGGTCAGCCGTGTCCGCCGATAGTGAACAATCCTTACGGTACGAAGACAGTCCTTGAGGAGCGTTTCCCGGAAGGTATAACGAATGGTGCCGCCTGGTATTCCGTGTCCGGCGGCATGCAAGATTACAATTATTTCCACAGTAATGATTTTGAGATCACCCTGGAGATCGGATGCACAAAGTTTCCAAACGCCAGCGACTTACCAAATTACTGGCTGGAGAACAGGGAGCCTCTTTTGCGTTTCATCGAAATGGTATAGTTTAGGAGAAGCTAATAGTTGAAGAAATATATCTTGATAATGTTCATTTTCAATGTGATAATTTTATAATATTTCTTTTCCGCAGTCTCGAAAAGGTGTGCACGGCATAGTGAGTTCATCTATCGGCACCCCTATACCCCATGCAAAGATCTCGGTTGGAGGTATTAAACACGATATTTACACTGCTGAAAGGGGCGATTATTGGCGGCTATTGATACCGGGGCGATATAACATAACTGTCAGCGCAATGGGATACGAAACACTTACTCAGAATATCGAAGTACCACCATATGGCAAAAATCCCGGGGATGGAGAAGTAACTTTGGACTTTACGTTAATGCGTGACGACCCTTTACATTGGTATAATTATTTATTTAAAGTACAATTTAATATATATTTACGATCTAATATATGCGCGTAATATGAAAAATTAATATATACTCAGTAAAGTAGAAGTTGAGTACATAGTAGGTTTATCAATAAACTTCTTAAATTATTTAGAATATGTTTTATGTTCAAATCTTTCTCATAAAGATAATTCAAGCCAGTTTTAATGAAAGATCACAACCCTGCGTGTTTCTTCAAGTAGTTATATTGTATCGCAATATTGTATCTATATGTGCTTTCTGGAATGTAAAAAGTATTAAGAAAATTAATTATTTGTACGAATATCCCTACTAGGTCATCCGCATATGATTTTGGATTGAGAGTAAACTTGCAGAATGGATATTTAAAAAATTCTGACTTGAACGCTAGATTCAGCCAATTGGAAAATCATCAGTCTGAAACCGCCGAATTTTTAGCTGGTGATTCATTAATCAGCATGGCTATTCATTCACTGAAAATCACGCATGACGTGAGTTTGAACGATAATATATTTAGCCATTATAAATGTTCTGTATTTAATTAAAATTTGTTCTTTCCAGATGGGATCACCTGATGAAAATAAATTTCGCATTGCATTGATAGGAGGACTGTTTGCTTCCCAGCCGGCGGGTAGGGAAATTCTATTACGTTTGGCAACACATATCCTCAAAGGAAATCAAATTGGTAATCCACCTATTCAGAGGATATTGAGTGACGCTATGCTGCATTTCATTCCTGGTATCGATCCAGGATTCGATAACGTAGAGAAGAGTGAGGATTGCAATCCTGTAGTCAACGACGAAGTAGGAAACAAGTTATTAGAAGAGAGCACTGATACGTCTAAGCAAACAGATAGAGTTACGAATGCGTTTAAGACAATGTTACAGACTGAAAATTACGATGTTGTTGTGATACTAAGAGGTGGTGCCTCGAAAATCAGGTAATGCAGTGATATTTATAAGCATAAATTGTAAAGAAAGGACCCCGCACTAATCCTATATGAAATTGGATCCCGGTGAAATCAAATGGTTTTCTCATATGTTATAGCTTATGACCTGCTAAACAAAATATATAAGTTTTAGCGCAAAAAAATGAATAGTTTTCGTGTTTGATTCATCTAAAGTTGCTGACATCTCATCATAAAATGCTCAATAACTTTTAAACGGCTGACCTAAAATGAATAAAAGTATAGTGTTTTGAAAAGGTCTCAACAAGGACTGTAAGAAAATTAAAGAAAAAGTGGGGGGGTTCTCACTTAAAAAATCCGTATGGACCTTGTCATGACCTTGGCAACGCCACCTAAAGTCAAACTGATGAAGCCAATGGCCTTTTTAAAAACTCTACAACTTTTATCTAAAACATTTTTTTATAAAAACTTATAATTTTCGAGATATTTTGCCGTCTCGAGACATTTTATGTTCCTTGTATAATTATATATGGTGTCATATATAATATCCTATATAATTACTATCATATAAAATACTATCATATAAAATGTCCAAGGACATGTTCACATGTATAAAACGATACTGTTACAGAATATGTAGTATAATTCCCTACTCTTATTGTTAGCATAACTCAGGACGAATGACATGGACGTGATAGGAATCTAATCTCATAAGAGTGGTTTTATGGTGAGATGTCAGCAATTTAGATGAATCAAACATGAAAATTGTTTATTTTTTTATGTTAAAATTTATACGTTTTGTTTAACAGGTCATACAAGCTACAACATATGAGAAAACGATTTGATTTCACCGGGATCCAATTTTACATAGGATTAGTGTGGAGTTCTTTAGCATGGATTGTCCCTAATTAATTTTTGTTCTTTAGTTATTCAGACGACAATCTGAACACGTTTAGAAAGCTCGCCCGTGCCTACGAGTATTCGAGAGACAGCGAAATATGCAGCCATCCAAACAACAATACACAACATTTAACGAATTTCATACAGCGCATTTACGGCATGCCAGTAGTAGGCATAACTTTTTCATTTAAATACATTTTTCTTTTTATATATTTATAATAAAATTCATTGATAAATGTTTTAAATATCTGTTTGTGCCTGTTTGTAGATGAGCATAAGTCTATCGTGCTGCAAGTATCCGCCCGCAGACCAGATTTCCACCATTTGGCGTGAGAATCTGCAATCACTTATGGAACTTGTGCGGAGTCTCACGACCGGAATCCGCGTGATGATAACGAACAAATATGGTGCTCCGCTTCGAAAGGCCACTATCGAGATTGGAAAAAGAATCTACGGCGTATCGCACAACATGGCTTACTTCAAAATGATTTTAGTGCCCGGTGAATACACCTTAACGACTTCTTGCAATGGATACGTTACGCAGGTGCTGAAAGTTGTTGTGCAACAACAAAGCATAACAAGTATCGACGTTAAATTAGAAGAAAAGAAAACGCCGTCGCTTGACCACAAGAAGTTACCCGAGAAGCCGAGCTTCGTCAACCGCGCTTTAACCGAATTGAATGCAAAGTATCCGCAACAGACGACCTTGCATAGCATCGGCAAAACTGTGAAGGATAACGAGATAATATGTTTAGAGATCGGTTCTAATAACGATCAGAAACAAACAGAGCGACCTGCCATCATTTTTTCGGCCGGCATTCTACGGGCGGAACCAGTGACTGCCGGGATGCTCTTACATTTCGCCTCATATCTTTTGGATAATTATAAGCAAAATACTACGATTATGCGTTACGTAGATGATTTCTCCATATATATAGTTCCAGAATTCTCATTCGATTCCAACGAGAATACCATCTGCTCGCCGCAACTAAAAGGCTTGCAGTTTCCAATTTACGAAAAACTGAATGGAGAAACGAAATGGATTGTAGACTGGTTTAAAGATGTAAATGCTGTGTTAGCTGTAAATCTCAATAGTGGGTCGCGTCATATTGAAATTCCGTTCGGTCATGACTACGGAAAGGTACGCGAACGAAAGTACGAGAGCGACGATGAGGATTTATTGCAACATTTGGCCTCAGTGTACGCCAATGCGAGAGCAGACAAAGTGTCTGCAAGCACAAAATGCGAACAGGATTCCAACATCGATGATAACAGTGTGATACATGCAGCTAAGGGAATTGGCGGAAAAAGAGATCATCTTTTAATGGATTACGCCTATTTCCACACAAGCACTTTAATGATGGACGTGTACGTCACCTGCTGCACCAATGATTACTCGATCGTCGTGTGGCAGGAGAACAAAGATAGTTTACTGTCCTGCATAGAGGAAATAAAGAAAGGTGTAAGAGGATACGTCACCAATGAGGAGGACGAACCGATTGAAAACGTTGTCTTGTCTTACGACATGTCACCGCATCTAATTGAAAACAGCAAATCAGGCTTCTATTCAATTTTATTGCCTCCTGGAAATCACAATATAACAGCCACAGCGCCTGGATATCATGCGGAAACCAAACTTGTCTCCACACCCATGTTCGAAGCGAAGAAATACTTAAGAGTAATATTCAAGCTCGTTCACGATGACAGTATCATAGGAATACCTAGACTAGTATTCATTATAATAACGAGTAAGTCAGTTGCGAGATGTTTAATAAAACTTACTAGATTGATGAAGATTTATAATAACATAATCCGATTGCAGGTATGATATGTTTTGGTATTGTGTTGTGTTGCATATGTATCTGCGCGAGATGTCAAGCTTCGGAAGACAAAGAGAAAAGCAGAAAGGGATATGCGTTTAGTTTATTGCAAGATGGTGGCAGCTTCTTTGATGACGACGAGAAAGAAGTTGAGATATTTCGAAGACCAGTAGACGGTAATTATATCAGTATGCCATAACACTCAGAGGATAGTTTTTAGAAACAATTTTATAAATAATCTTATCATTCTAATTCTAATTTTTGTCCTAATTCTTGTTGTAATCCGTCAGGATATTCATCAAATGATAATAAAGTTACCATGCCATATTTCGACAACAGTTCCGACGATGGCAGCGATTTGGAATTTATTCGGCCTGAATGGAGTGATACAATACCAAGACAGACGTGACAGAACGTTTTTGTATGCTAAACGATATACAACTGTACAACGCACGCGGTAAATTTAGCGTATTTTATATAGTTTAAACAAATTTTCGGTAAAAAGAAAATAAGATAAAAGTAATTTTAAAATGCTGAAATTTACGAAAGTAACAATCAGGGTCCAACTATGGAATACGTACTTATATTTTTATTGTATATTTTTATATTAGAAGGAATCGTGTTATTTTTTATGATAATTATATTATTTTTTGTAAATATATCGTATAAATGTTTAAAAGAAACAGAATGCAATTTTTTAGAATTGTGTAAGAAATTATATATACGTAAACACATACATAGAAAATTATATCAGTGTTTTAAATGAAAGAAAGCATAGAGAGAGGACTTTTCAAATTGTTAACTTTCACAAGAATGAATGTAAAAGAAAAATGTCAGGGGTTCGCAGAATAAAAGGAACAGGGAACAGAGAATAAGAATTTCAACCTATCAAAAATCATGTACTATGGAATACCCACTGTTTATTCCACAGTACATGATTTCTGATAGGTTGAAATTCTTATTCTCTGTTCTCTGTTCCTATGATTCTGCGCAGCCCCTCACTGTTCAGAATTACTGTATATATTATATCAACACACACGCACGCACGCGCGCACACGCACACACACGTACACATACACACACAAATGACGACAGATATTTAACGTTCTTATTTAATGTTAGCTAGGATTTACTTATACATATATATAGTGTTTCGTCCTTTTTTTCAGTTAAAATTATATGAAGTAATGTATTCCTAAGGAAAAGAGAAATCGAATTTTTCTTAAAATGATTTAAATTTCAGCAATATTTTATTACATTTGTAACATAAAACGAATAATTTCTGCACATTAATCATAATTTTCGCAGATACTTCCGTATGCAGGTCATTCTAATAATCTAATATACTAATAAGTATTTGGTACTTGCTACTTACAATTAACAATTCCTTTTGATACTTACAATATTTAGAAAATTAGAGCAGTAAATTATAATACCTATAAAGGATTAAGTTTTATTGTTAAATTATCACAATTTATTTTAAAATAAACAAAGAATCCCGCACCATTCTTACCGGAAAATATCTTTCTGCGAATTTGGCTAATTTTTGGATATGTTGTAGTTCTCTTTATTCTGAATAAATGTCTCAATTGGGCACAACTTGATCCTATTAGCCGTTTCTTCGCTACAATCCTTGAAAGATTCAGATTTAACATGTTCAAATACAGTGTAGTATTCGCAAGTATATAAGTCATTACCAACATACACGGCAATACACGCGAGCGCACACGCATACACATAATCAGAGAGGGTTTGGAATCATTAAATACTACGGAAATAAAAGTTGCTTTCGATTTATTCCGATTCTCAGATAATTCTCACTTGTGACGTCATAACTCAGTTGAATGCGCGTTCCTTTTGCGTTCTGAGAAGTGAGATTCAACTGAGTTTTTACCTACAAATTGCACAAGATCGAGACCGTGTGCTTTATTGAGTCTCGTAGACTCACTTTAAAAGTGAGGTTATAAACCTGTGTTGTTATTTGTTAATTTTACCTAAATAAGCAAGTAGTGACGTCATTAATCTGAGTATTTTATACTCAGCTCACTTTAGACTCAGTATCACTTGTGTGTAAGTGGAAAACAACTATAAAGAATAGTCCTTACTTCTACTGACACATTCGCATGTACATTCGACCGAATCTGGACCTTTCAAGGGTTGTAATGCGGAAACGGCTCATAGAATCAAATTGTGTCCTCATTGGGATATTTGTTCAGAATGAAAAGAACTACAACACATATCCAAAATTAGCCAAATCTGCAGAAAGACATTTTCTCATAAGAATGATGCGGGGTCCTTTTTCTGTTAAACTAAATATGTTTATAGATGTAAATATATCACAAAATTTTATATCAGAATCTTTCACAAGATAGAAAAATGCCGAAAGAACCGTGTTTTACTTGGGGATCATTAGTTTTATGTTATATTACATACAAAATGTAAGTCAATTATGTATATATACATATAGGTCTCTAGAATTTAGAATTGATAAACATTTATTCCTATGATAGTAATGTACGCCGTAATTTTTCAGATCGTTGACTAGTTTTGTTTAAGAATATTTACAATTGTAATGAGCTGCGAAATAATCTTGTATTAATTCTCTTTCATTGTGCACAAAGTTGTATAAATTAGAATTCCGTATACAGAATTGTAACACTCGTGTTGTAACAAATCATAAATTTTGTTCATATAGCCCATTCTACAATCGTGTAAACATAGTTGTGTAGTTGTAAGAATCCTTCAATCACAGTTGGATATTCTTCTTGTATTCAACTTAATTGGTCAATTCTTACAACTACGTTTACGCAATTGTAGATCGGGCTTTAAAATTGATTAATCACAGTCGAACATTTTCTTGGCATAATTTGACTGTGATTGGTTGAAGCCCATTCTACAATGGGCAGTAGTAGTAGTGGATTAAGGAGTAGGCGTAGAAATCGACCAATGACCAGTGTTGTGCAGTACCTAGGTACTGTAACTAGAGGTACAGTTCGCGCAATTAATGCCTTCCAACCCTATGACGTCACATTCACTGTTGAAGCATCGCGTTTACTTTCTCGGTCGTTTTCATATTCATGGCTATAGTAGATAAATCGTAATCAGCCGGCGAAATTGCGCGAATTTCTTCAACCTTATAGCCCGTGTTCGTGACACCTCGAATGTGTGTGATTAAAGTTTTATTGACACTGTTGACAGTCGTAAAGTTCGTTTAAAAATATATTTACATAACCAAATTTTCAATTATTTACGACACATAATTTATCAGATAAGTTACTATTCTTCTTTTTTGTATTTATTTAAAACTCTATAAAAAATTATGGAAAAAAATCTTTGTGCATTTTTAATGTAAACAAATTTTTAATTATTTACGGCTTATAATTTTATCAGATCAGTTTATTACAATATTTATCATTTGCATTTTGTCTTTTTATATTTATTTAAATTTTTATATAAGATTAAGGAAAAATATCTTTGTGCATTTTTCTTCTTTTACAAATGGAAACAAGAAGAAATTTTCAACAAGAATAATTTAAGTTTTTTAAGATTTTGGCTGAAGAGGACAATATTATAAATGGGTATCCTTTATATATGATAGAATCCAAACAATATGTATATAATATTAACAATAATAAACAATTTTAATTACTAGTTTCTACATTACAATATTTACAATTAAAGATTACAATATTTACATTTAATATTCAATCCAATAGCCATTCTTTTCAATCACACATTGCAAACAACTGTTTATAGAGTTCACCAGATTGTGAAAAATTTGTGGGCTCTCCCGAAGACAATCCACTC